TAGTACCGGTAGCCCTTCTGATGTATACCATAGCCAAGAAGAGACAACGAACTACACAGGGATCAAGTTTCGTTCGCCAGCTTTTATGGATATGCACATAGGCCACACAACCAAATACTCAAGGAAGGAACATTAGGATTGTGGGTATGGTGACGTGAGATGCCAAGACTTATAATGGAGTCTTAAAATTTAGGATTCTGGGGGCCGTGGGATTGAGTAGATATATAGCGGTGGATACTGCATCAAGCCAGTGGTTCTTTGGAACATAAGCTGTAACACCCCGAATTCTAATAACCCGAAACGTTATGAAACATGAATATATCAAAGGGCTTGAAATAAACAGTTTTAATATAACGAGAAATTTTGTAAAAATTGAATTTCATTTAATCAAAAGATAAATTAAAATATGCGGAACGTTTGAAAACATATCCTTCATCAAACATTATTACAACAATTAGACCTAATTGAAATTTATAATGTACTCACAATTGAGTCAAAAAATAACCCATTATTATTAAAATTCTAGTGTTCCTAAAAGTTAAAGTACTTCATGACAAGGATCCATTGGTCCAATAGCAAATCCATCCACCGCCGTCCAGCATACTAATTCTTACTTGAAAATTATAAATAAGAGGCATGAGTATAACGAATTATACTCAATGAGATACTTACTACTCCACATTCAAATCAAACATGAAATTACGAACAAATTCTTTTACCAACATAAAATGGGAATTATCGCACCATGACAAATGATGATTCTAGCAAGCGATGCGAAATAATGTAAAGGCTAAATTGTGCCTTAAAATGTATCATGATTTCTCCCGAAGGAGCCCTGCACTAAAGTAATTAATTTCGTACATAATAACATATTTGAAAAGATGAGGAAAAATCACTAATAGCAATGAGCATCTCACCTTACGTAATGAATCGTGTACAATATGCACTTGGAAAGTAAATTGTGAGATCTTGCTTTTCTGAATTCCGTCTTAACACTTGGCCGTTTGTGAAATTGAATGAAGGGTAAAAATATAGCAGAATGTTTTTGGTTTACTGTATTAGCAATTACTATATAGAAGAAAATTTTAGAGGGGGAGAGAAAGGACGGACAGTACAAAAATATTGTAGAATGAGTGTAGTGCATAATTTGTTTGATGGCATATATATAGTAGAACAAAAGTGGTGTGGTGAAAACACGTGAGAATTAACCACAGCAATGGCGTTTTAAATTCAAGAATTTCAGTTCAATCTTTCCAAAATTTGTTCCAATTAGGGGACACCTTGATTGCCTAATTCTATTCACACGTGAAAGTTGGAATGAAATGCATGCGTTATTCATTTTTTTATTCTAATACTAAAGTCTGATAAAGGATTCAAATAATTCAAATTCCTCTTGATTTGTATTTAACAAAATCTGTAAGCAAGGATTATGTTTTAATTGATTATCTCTTAATTACAAATTTATAATTATTGATACTTAACATAAAGACTTTGTTTAACGAATACTTAAAATTCTAATTTATTTAGCTAAACTAGCGGTGGCAATCAACTGACGAAAAACCAATCCTTTAAAATTCTTATAACGATAATATTCTTTAGATGGCTAAAACTCGGATTTAACTTGACCTAATTAAATTTTTCTTGAGTCCATAATTCGCCATTTATTGCGAACGTCAAAATGAGCCCAATATTGATAGGGTAATTCTAGCTCCTTCAATAGTTAACTATTTGGCCCATTTAATAAAAGTATAAACTTCGATATTTATCTTCACTTAGGTCCCTCAACTATAAAGATATTCATATAGATCCACATCAACTATAGAGATAATCAATTAACTTGCATAAGGACTTAACCAAACATTTCATTCCTATCCAAAGGCAAATAAAATATATGCGAATTAACTAAAAAAATTGGAGATTCTACGGCCTACCCTCCTTAAAATAATTTCGTACTCGAAATTTACCGTAGGTTAGTTGAAAAGTTCGGGATACTTGATGGTCATTTCATCTTCCTTTTCCCAAGTTGCTTCTTCCACTCCATTATTACACCATAGGACCTTGATTAAGAGAATTTCCCTATTTCTCAATACATGAATCTTTCTTTCTAGTATCCTCAATGGCATTTTGTCATAGGTTAAATCATATTGTACATCTAAATTTTGATGGTTGATCACATAATTAGGATCCTGTAAGTATTTTCGCAACATTGATACGTGAAAAACATTATGTACTGTTGAAAGTTCTGGTGGCGATGCTAGTCTATATGCCACATCTCCGATTGTTTCTAATACATCAAATGGTCCAATGAATCTTTGTCTTAATTTTCCTTTCTTTCCAAATTGAAGCACTCCCTTTATTGAAGCCACTTTGAGAAATACCTTGTCACCAATTTGGAACTCGAGATCTTTTATGCTTCTATCGGCATAGCTTTTCTGCCTGTCTTGAGCAACTTGAATTTTGTTTCGAATCTTTTCCACAGCCTGTACTGTTCGATCTATGATCTCAGGTCCAAGAATCCTTCTTTCTCCAACCTCATCCCAGTAGAGAGGTGATCTGCACTTCCTACCATATAGTGCCTCGTAAGGTGCCATGCCTATTGTTGCTTGAAAGCTATTGTAGGCAAATTTTGCTAAAGGCAAGTGTGATTCCCAGCTACCACCGAGATCTAGTACACAAGCTCTTAACATATTTTTGAGTATCCGACTCGTCCTTTCGAATTGTCCATTAGTATGTGGGTGATATGTAGTACTAAATTTCAGTTTTCTTCCCATAGCATTTTGTAGACTTTTCCAAAATTTTGATGTGAATCTCGGGTCTCTATTTGAAATAATAAAAATAGGAACCCCGTGTCACTTGACTACTTCCTTGACATAAATCTGTGCATATTGCTCCATGGTAAATCTCATCTTAACTGGAAGAAAATGGGCTGACTTTGTAAGACGATCCACTATTACCCAGATAGCATTGTTCCCTTTAGCGGATCTTGAAGTCCTACCACGAAATCCATGGTAATGTGTTCCCATTTCCACTCCGGTATGGCTAGTGGTCTAAGCAACCCCGAAGGTCTCTGATGTTCTGCTTTTACTTGCTGACAGATCATACATTTATTTACAAAAAGTCCTATTTCTATTTTCATATTTCTCCACCAAAATGTATTTCAAAAGTCTCGATACATTTTTGTATTGCCTGGATGTGCTGTATAAGCAGTAGAGTGTGCTTCTTTGAGAATTTCTTTCCTTAATCCCTCATCTTTTGGAATACATATTCCGCCTTTATACATAAGTACCTTATCATCAGTTATCGCAAATCCTTTTTGCTTATCTGTCCCAACTCCAGCCATGATTTTACACAAAAATGGGTCATTCCTTTGGGCTTCTCTAATCCGTTCTCTAAGAGTTGGTTGAACCATTAGAGCCACAACAATAGTTGACTTCTATACAGAAGTGCAACCACCTCTAGCCTCAAGTTTTCAAATTCCTTAACTAACTGTTTTTGAGTAGTTGGAACTGTCAACTTTCCTGCTGTCTTTCTACTTAGAGCATCAACAACTATGTTAGCTTTACCTGTCAGAGGAAGAAAAACTCATTTTTTTTATATATATTCCATACAACCACGTGTTACAGATTTTATAGGTAGGAGAAGAGTTCCTATTCTAGTATATACGGATTTTATTCCTACAATCAAGCAACAGATTTTATTCCTACAGTCAAGCTACTATAATTCCTCCAATCTTTCCTCAATTCACGCTGACATTACCTGGGTGGTAAAGAATGGTGCAATCATAGTCTTTAACCAACTCTAGCCATCTCCTTTGTCTCATATTTAACTCCTTTTGAGTAAAGAAGTATTTGAGACTTTTGTGATCGGTGTATATCTCACATTTACCGCTATATGGATAGTGACGCCATATTTTTAGTGCTTGAAATACTGGTGTGAGTTCTAAGTCATGAGTTGGATAATTTTGCTCATATGGTTTTAATTGTCTAGAGGCATAGGCAACGACCTTTTCATGTATTGGATAAAGATACAATCGTTCGTTGTTTAGTTTTTAATTTGAATATTAGTAATTTAGTTTATTTTTGTTTTCTTATTAATTTTTCATGAATATTCCATTTTTGATTGCTTGATCATCAATTAGACAATTCGTTGCTTAGTGTGCTAGGTGTTTCATAATAAGTTTAAAACACTGCAAGCTTACCACATGAGCAACACATGTTAGAAAAAATATGTATGGCATGTGCAATCATATTTTTAAGTGTATTAGTTTGCATATAAATTCGAAATAGGAATACAATCAAGTTGTTCTTAGAATATATTTAACTTACTTTGAAAGAGATAATTAAATAAAATTGATTTATGAATTTCATGAATGTATGAATTATACTAAACTATATAAGTTGAGAATTGGGAATCGAAACTAATGTGGAAAATGATTTTATTTCTAAAAATATATCGAAAATATAACAAGGCCCGATTTTTCTATGCCTGAGGCTAATTTAACATGCCTGCACATAAAGAAGTAAACGTACCATACATAGGCATGGGCCAAATTTTTATACATAGGGACACCTTTCAGTTTGTGATACACTCTTTTTAAAACCAAATTGGATGCATTTCTTGACCTAAATTCACCATATATAAATACATAACAAGGGCTAAACATGTGGAGATCTCTCTCTAGCCTCTCATGACTCATCAAATCCCAAAACTCATCTAGAAGAATAGGCCAATTCTTCATATTTTTACTAATTACATAAAGATCTTGAAAATTTAGGTGTTGAAATCATTACTTCTAGTATTCATATTTATTTTGGGTGATGACGCCTTTTCATCATTGTTCATGTAATTTTATAGAAATCATGTTCGACTATATTATTATTTATATTGTAGGTAGATTGATAACTTTATTTCATACACTAATTAGGGCCGCTCTTCTTGAGTATTTAGTAATAAAATATATAGGATATTGGCGCTATTCATTATTTTTTGTCTTGTTTTAGGTTCAATGATGAGCACGGTGGAATTGTAGAAAAGGAGCAAAAAAGGACCAAAGTGAAGAAGATCGAAAGTTCGGGGACCAAAACGCGAATAATTAGAGGTTGAGCCGAACTTGATAACAAGATATTAAGTATTAACATACCAAGAATCAATTGAATAAAAAAACATTTCAGGACTAAAATACAAATGGAGAAGCTTAACATAAGTGTATGTAACTGCATAGGCTTCCTCAGATGTGGTCGCATCTATCAATATCGAAGAAAAAATTGGGGACTTCACTTGTTCTATGTGGTCGCACCTCTACCTTATATGCAGCCACATAGAAGGTTCCCTGCATAGAATCTTCAACTTTCCTTATTCAACTGAAACTTATATGGAAAAAAAACCTAGAGCTACTAGAACAAATGGAGGGATACTCCGCAAACTTGTAGAGAAATTTGAGAGAATTTACGTGAAAGAACGAGAAATTCATTCTTTGGGATCAGAAGTACGTTGGATTATTGAAGATTTCAAGATTCCTCCCTTGATTCTTTAACTTAGGTGATGTTCTTCTTTATTTGTTTTTGTAATTTTATACAAACATGTTAGGCTAGAATTTTATTGTATTGGATGGATGACAAAAATTTTTGATTCTTAGATTTTAATTCGAGACTTTGAGTTTTTAGCTTAATTCACACGTTACAATTCCATAAATATGCATAGTTACATTGTTCTAATGTTTGCGCACCATTAGGGCAAAATGTTGCTTATTCCTAGTGTTGAAAAACTCACGATAGGTAGAACATTATTTATGGAATACATAGGCAATAAGTAGCATGAATAATATTTATGTGTTCGCTCCTAAAAGTCAATGCATGTTTGTCATATGAATTCAAACTAGGAGTAGGATCGTGTCGTGTTAAATCTAGGTTATTATATCTTAAATAGAATGGTAAATAAAAGTGAAATTATTGATCGTCACAATTGCATGAATTCAATTACTTGCAATAAGTTGAGAATTGGAATTAAGAACCGATTAGTGTAGGTGGAAATCCAATACATTCATCCACATTTTCTATAAAACAAATTTGTATTGTTTTCGTCATTACAAAACATAGTAGATACAAATCATTCATCATTTATTACAATCATGAATTTAAATATATCAAATACACTAGAATTGAACTTTATTCCCCGTGGAACGATAACTCCCTCATCACAATTATTATTTGTACAAAGAACTCGTACACTTGTAGGGTTTTTACGAACAAAGATGAACCCTTTATTTTTTTTCTTTATAATTCAAGCACTAGTAGTTTAGTATATTCTTAATTCACTACAAAAAATAACTGATTTTGCAACAAAAAAAATGTTGTCGCAAAAATTGATATTTTGTTGGAAAAACAATTTAGTGACCACAGGATGTTTGTTGCAGGCATTATCATGCTATGTAAGTCACGGAATGTACTTTGCGACAACTTTCTCTCATTCGACGCATTAATAAACTCACAACACTATTTGTTTAACGCAGAAAATACATAATAGCAACAAGATTTTTGTCGCCATAGTATCGTCGCAATGCATATTTGTCGCAAAAAATTAAAAGAGCGATAAATATATTTGTCACAACGATTATTGCAATAAAGTTTTTGCAAGAAAAATATTTGTTGTGAATATCATTTTAAAAGTATAACTTTTGTTAAATATTCTATTTTATAACAACACATGCTTGTAGTGATATATTTTTAAGAACAAGTCATTTGTTGCGAAATATAATTTACAATGCTTTGATATGTTGGATAATATATTTAAATATATTCAACATTTGTAGTACAATTTAATGTTAATAAATTAAGTTTGTAATTCATCATCGTTCATGCAAAGATGCATAAATGTTACCTAATTTATTTTATAATTATTTATTTGTCACGTATTTTATTTTACGACTTATAAAATTATTGCGTAAATTATTGGGACAATAGTATTTATTTATGTGATAAGCTGTGCTTGTAATTAAATTTATTTCACAGCATAGAGTTAATGTAAACTACGTTATCAAAAACAGCTCATGACTTTACAAAAGGAATGCTTCAATGTACAATTATTAAAATTTTAGTGATTTCATAAACAGAAAAAACTCATCATTGTCAACCAAATAGATATAGATCAAAGTATTATTTACAAACTTCGTAACCTCCAAAAACCAAAACAAATGCCAATAAAATATATGCTAATAGTTTCATGATCGAACTACTTAGTATGATTCACCAAACCCGAAAAGAAGAAAATAAATCTCTACGGGACAATCAAATGACCTTCTTGACTCCAAGATATACTTTCAGCTCAACCACATGCTATTATTTTGTTAAATGAGGAATCTTGTAAAGACTGACTTCACAGCTTTAGTTAAAGATGAATATATAAAAAGCAGCGAAATATTTGCTAGAGGAAAAATATGTCAAATATCTCATATTAACAAGATAGATGATACGAAAAATCTAGATTCAATTCCTACATGTCTGTGACTACAAATTTAAGACAAAGTTCAAATGCGAAAAATTAATAGACATTTAAATTTATTAAGGGATAAATTTTATCTTACTCTTTAAAAGCACCCAAGCTATATTGCATATTCTAAGACACCACCACCAGCCAACTATGTGCAAGATGAGGATGAAAATAATTCAATTTCTCTAAAAATGATATTTAATAAAACAAACCAAACAAATTACATAATATAAACATTCTGAATCAATACAAGATAAAGGACAGGGAATTGCTCCTTGATGGGCTGCAAGAACCAAAGAGCAATGTCACGGCCATTGTTGGCTCCATGAGCTAGCTCAGCAGGTAACCTCATGGTCCCAAAAGGACCTCCAGTTCTATTGCTTACATCAAATATACACAGCACAGTGCCATCTACAATCACAGACAATACAAATTTCCAACATCATAAAGCTCCACACAAATCAACATAATCAACTCAAAAGTAATATAATTCATCACATTGCACATACATGCATATGAAATATGTTCATGCAAGTAGTATAAATCATAAACTCAAATAAAATGCACAGCTATGAACTAGCGGGATTGGCAACCAAAGTGAGTTGTGTGGTATTTTAAATTTATTTTTATCAAATGCTAGATGAGCTTGTGGCTGGACAAATCTAGACAATCAGTGAATATCATGGGCATATTGTTCATTAACTCCACAATCGGAAGGTCATGAAGCTTTTCCTTCATCCTTTTATATCGTTAATACTATCTAATGAAGGAAAAACAACGACATTTGTGCTCATCATGTCATTTCATTGAGTACAAAATAGATTAAGAAATCAACAAACATTATCTCAAACCAGAGATATCATGCAATGCTAGGTTGAAATTCAAATAGAGATATGGTGAAGTTTTAAGTAGATCCAATTTTACTCGATAGGAAATTAATTATTATTTATACTTATTTATTTGCATTTGCGCTTTTTTTTTTCAAAAACTTGGGACTAGAGTTGAAATAAGTTCTTTATTATTATTTTTTCTTTTTTTCTTTTGTTTTCTTATTCTATTCAAAGATGATGGTGTATTCATTACTCACAAGGATTTATTGAGAAAATAAAAGAAAATTGGACATTCCACACTTCAAAGTTCATAAAGGGGTTTCCACCTATTTGACGAGGTGGGATGATAATTGGCAGGACAAAATTCCATTTGGACCGAATGGAATGAACCAAAAGTTGTCCCCCTCTCACAATGCACGCGGGGCCTAAAAGACTATAAAAATCGCCAAATGTGGTCCCACCCCTTATTGTGAGTAGTAGGTAAAGAATTAGGCAAAAAAATTATATACATGTAGCATTGTCTTAATTGGCCATAGGTCTATACATTGGGGGTACTGCACAAATAAGCAATCCGATGAAGTATCTAATATTCAATTTAAATATTTGTACTTAGTCAAAATAAGGACACAACCTCTAAAATATGTTATTTATAAATGCCTAAAAGATGAATCAATTATAAATTAAGAAAGCGAGTTATGCAAATAACTGTTAAATTATGTGAATTACTTGATCTCAATTAAAACATTTTTTTTATTTTAATAATTAAACTAAGCATTTCACAACAAAGCGACTCGTAACTAATGAACGAACTGATTTTATTTGTGCAAATATATAGAATATATGACAACGTTGTCAATTAGATTAAAGAACAACACCAGTCACAACCCATGCATCGCTTCAGCCATCAACTTCTTCAAAAAGGAGCACCTGATTTCGGTCATAAACAAAGTCAAGATTAGGACATTAAAAGAGCATATTAAAAGTTTTAATTAATACTTGCATTTTTGTGATTAATTGACGCCTAAATGTGCTGAGCAACCTTATATTTTGATTTAGGTCGCAATTGGATGATGATGGCACAAATTAGAAGAAAAGAGCAAAAAAGGACCAAAGTGAAAGAAATCAAAAGTTTAAGGACTAAATTGTAAACATTCAAAAGTTGAACCAGAAGGAGAAATGAAGGAGTGAAAGATTTGAAGGTCAATTGATGGAAGATTTAAAGTGTTGGAAGAAGGAAAACAAGAAAAAGAGGCCAAGTTGCAAATAATCCCTAGATGAGATGAGTGATGGAATGAAGATTCAAGAGTTTTAGAGGTCAAGTGGATGAGGAAAGAAGTCAAAGAGGTGAAATATAGTCAAAGTATAATCACACATCAATTTTCGATCGAAAGGATTATGCACTGGTTTTTAGCATCATATTGGGGCCCATTTTTGATATGGTAAACGATCGAATTGGAAGATCACTTCTGAAAAAAATTTGTAGATTTTGAGTTAGCTTTCTAACACAACTTGAATCATCTCAATTGGACATCGGGAGAGAAAGTTATGACTAAAATATTGAAAGCTGTCCGGTGGAGAAAACCGTATAACCATGCGATCGCATGGTCATTTTCCATGCGATCGCACAAGCCATTTCAGTGATCTCAGGACCCTATTTTGACATAACCATGCTTTAACACACAATATAACAATGCAATCACAGTAGAAACTGTTGACGCGATTTTTAGTTTCATTTTTCCGTCCAACCATGTATGAAAACAAATCCTTTTACCATATAAATACCTCAAAACTCGTCCAAAACCGAGAGAACGCCCCCAAAACACTTTGCTCTCTTTTGTGCTCTAAAGTTGAAGATGTCTAGCTAATTTTTCATACTTGATCGACGATATTGAAGCCCCGAAATCTATACAACTGTGAGATCGAATTGTTTTATTAGTTTAATTCATGTTTTTGGGTATTGAACATTCTTTTTCACTTATTTTCAATGATTGTTGTGTTTAATTGCTAGGATGCATAATAGTTTGTTATTTATTACAATCTGCAGCTAAGTTAAACATCAAATCAGTAATTGTTTGATTGATTTAACTTGTGAAGCAACGATGAATAGTGATTTGCTGGTTTGAAAATTATTAAATCTTATGAAGAATGTTTGAATAGGTTAAATGCAAACGCATGACTTGTGTTATCTAGTTCATCGGTTTCTCTAATACGTAAAGCTGCTATTGAATTAAATCTTAGTGCTTGTCTATGGTTGTTTGATAATTAGGATTAGTTAGAAGGTCG